AACAAAAAAGTTCACAAAATACAAACCAAATTGAAAACTGTATTTCATATATTAAACCACTGAGCATGTCTTTGCCTAGTGTTTTTCTGTAATTTAAAAATCTGATGTTGAAGTTGATGAAGACAGATGGGGATTCTGTGAAACTTTGGGATCTCCATTTTTCTAAGAAATACATTAGCCTGACGCACTTGGCCTCTGACACTGAGCAGAGAAACCACAAACAACATGGCTTTGGCTTCTCACTCTTTGGGACGATTGCCATTGGCCATAATCGCTCATTCTCTGCACAGATATTGTAACCCAGACTTCAGACTTTACACTGAGTCGGTTTCATTTTAGAAGTGATGAAAAGCTGGCTCTGGCATTTTGGAAAGGTATGGCTAAGACCATGTGCACAAAAGCAGAACAACTTTGAAATGGAAATCATCAAAGTTTATCACTGACCTCATCCCGCCGCCTCCACATTTTATAAGTGAATCATGCTTCACTTAGCTCCTAACTTTGGCAGAACTGCAGCACAGACAAATATATTTGATACAAATAAAAGACTGAATAGACTTGCAAATACATGGAGAGCGTTAACAACCTTAAACATTTAAGAAAAAATTGTCTTGTCTGTAGGAATACTGTTGTTTATCTTGAAGACATATTTGAAGCCCAAGTACTCACCAACCCAATCCCAAAGCTGGTACACATATTCTGACATTATATGAGTCTTTATTTTATCATGTGTCTTTTTACCTGACAAAAACATGCCTTGTCTTTATAACATGGTTCATTTAAAATCCTCATACTTGTATTGGCTTTGTGATTGTATTTGGCTTTTCTAAAGGAAGGTTTGAATGGGCAGTGCATGGGTGGAGATTTAGAAGTTTTGCTGAAAATGATTTTCCTCATGAAGGACTTCCTGATGGTCAGTGAATCCTTGCATGATAAGAGGCTGCAGAATTAACCAATGTTTTTTCACTATGAATGAATCAATACAAAACTCCAGATATCTTTTAAAAGCGTTTGCATCTATGCAGCATGTTAAAAGCTCGAGACTGATTTTGTATAATACTCCCCTTTATATGCATATTTATATCCCCCATAATGGATTTTAAAGTTTCTTCATTTCACATAAAACGCCACTGCTGTCTCACCATTTAATCTCTCTGAGTGAATAAAGGGTTTAATTCATTTGCTTACCTCAGCCTTGAGAATCAAATAAGTCAAGTCACTCAAATTCAAGGTAAAAGAAAAAATTACAGTGGAAGAATAGGTCTTTTAAATAATGGCAGGAAAAAGGCAATTCACCAATCCACTTAGCCGTAAGTGCATTTCAGTTTATTACCACACTGTTGATTTGAATGATTGACGTACTGAACTGAACTGACTGACGGTGATCTTTTGTATATGTATGTATTTTACTTGAAAGAGTGAATTGATAAAAAACTATGCCAAAGCTATAGAAGTGAATGAAAGATATACATATTGATCAGAACAAGTCATGATTGATCCTCCATGACACTGTACTGTATATCTCTAATGCCCTTTGAGGTAACCACACTACCATTGTTTTGATGCTGTCACTCATTTAGTGTTTCCGCTCTGACCGCCGTCACCACCACACTGTCCGCCAGATTGGATTTATTGGGCCTATTCTGCGTTTGATGGCTTTAATCAGATTCCACATTAAGTTGATTTAATTTGTTCGTGAGCCAAGCGTGAGTGAGCGAAGGAAGAAGGGTGCTGTGCTGACACACTATACAGCAGCAATAGCAGTTTGGATGGAATTTCTGAGTCTATGTTACACGCTGGATTTGGTCGCAATGACCTGCCTCATGTGGGCACCCAAGGGACCCAGTGCTGGCTGGGTGAGTGGATAAGACCTGGCTCAGACAAGGCTAATGAGCTCTATAAACCTGACTGATGGATACAAGCTCAGAACAACCAATTATCCTGTCTGTCCTACACACCAACACCAAAATGTCATGCAGATAAGATTAAATGAAAAAAAAAAATCCTTAAAATAAATACATAAATCAAGACTTTGGTGTGGTATCGGTTTGTTCACTAGCTGGATGTTGTCATTTCAAACTTTGCCCATCCACATACTTTTTGTGTGGTTAAGACTCTTTACCCATATTACCCACCGCTCCACTAATCCATAGGCCTATGTATGGCTGGTTGCAAAAGGTCAGCATTTGTGACTAAAGCCACATTAGTTTGCATTAACATAACTCTCAAGATGTCAGTGTTATGTTCATATTCACGAATTATTATTTTGTTGTACTTTTATGTGTACACATTAACTTGAACTTCTGATTTGAATTTACCAGCTCAATTTAACATGACATTTTGTTTGTTCGTTTGTTTTAATTTCACTTCATTTTACACAACTTGAACTATAGGAAAACTACTACAAAACATTAGAGCATCTTTGCATAATTTCTGCACTAAAGCTGCTATTAAAATAATCTATCTAGTGGTATAAGAAAATAGATGTTTATGAAAATCTCACAATGTACATTAAAAGCACTACTAGTCTTTTCTGTTTGCATGATCTTGCAGGCGTGTTATTTGTGCACAGCTCGGTGGGATTTGTCAGACTGTTAAAATGTCATCTCCATCCATCCACCTTCATATCTCTGTCTTTTTCTGAAATGACAATGTTAAAAAAAATTAATTGCATTTAAGAAATACACAACACAATGATGAGCACTGGCAGCAAGTGTATCTATGTCAGGGCTGATAAGAAAATATAAAGTACATTATTTTGACCTTTCCCCTGATACATTTACTCTATGCATTATGAAGTGCACTAAGAGACTGAGCGCATTCCTTCATCTTGAACTCCATGTGAGGCTGTTAAATTATTCCTGACAAGAATAAACCTGCACTGTACACTTTGTCTTTTTTGAATCTTATGTGAAGGCCTACACCATTTAACATCCATTTATCAGCAACTTGATGGTGGAACAATGTGTAAAGGTCATTTTGTTGTACTGTAGAATTTGTACTTAAAATGAAAGCTTTGAGGACTTCTGACTTTCTAAAAATGATTGCTATTACTTCTTAAGCCTTGACTCAAATACCAATGTGATGATCAGCATTCTTTAGGAAAAAAGCACCCACTCATGCCCTTTCCAAAACTGCTACTAAAAATGCTATCATTGATCTGTAAAAGGCCACCTGACCATCTCATGCTCACACAAGACAAATAGAACACTAGAAGTAAAGAGATATGCAAACTTAGCTGACCTCAACCTTGAATTAGGATTACATTTACAACCGTTTACAAAAATAATGTAATATCTGGATCCATCCACCGATTATATGTCAGGTCTCCGCCTGTGTCCTCTCTATCTTTTATTTTTACCTTGTATCTTTGTGATTTTATATTTTTTTTACTCGCAAGATGACCTTGAGAGTCCTAAAAAGGGGTGTCCAATAAAATGGCACCTTTTAGGACTCTCAAGATAATGAGAGCAAATTAATTAAAACCAATGCATCATTTTTATTTTTATTTTTAAATAAATCATCACTCCTCACTTGACTAATCCACTGTGGATTTTAAAGGGTAGATATCATGCATTTTTCTGATTTATGTTATAATGTTGTTTCTTCATCAAAAACATACCCTAAGATATGTTTTCTTTCATTCCCACATTTAACAAATCCTGCATATTTGCTAATCCAAATTAAAATGTAGCTGATAATGTGAAAACTACCACAGAACAGAGCATTTATGTAGACCGACTAATAATACAAGTTAACTCAAACGTGTGAATGAAACATAATATATTTCTGGGTATGTTTTGGATTAAGCAGCAACATTATAATTTGTGAGCTTAAAGCTCACAATAGCCAATTTTGCACAATATAGGTCCTTTAATGTGTCACAAAACATATATTTATAGTAAAAAATACCCCTACATTTTTACAGCTTCATATTTCACATAAATTTAGAAATTTTAAATACACAACATCCTTTCACATACATTGACATCATTTATTTATTTATTTCAGTATTTGGACATTTTTAAGCAGACACAATATTCAAATGAACTGCAACACATTTGTTAAGGATTTATTTTTTTTTACAACAAATACATACTGCACACTTTTGAACAATGAAAAATATGCACCACCTGGGCCCTTTTGTGAATACATTCAGACAGAACCACTTTGGTCCACAATGGGGAGTGACCCGAGCTGCTGGCTTCGATACACACATGGTCGGTCACAGCTTGAAAGACATGTTTTATTTTAAAACAGAATTACAAATATATACTAACTATACCCATACAAAGTAGCATTATCGCTCAAACACAACATTTACCTTTGAGCAGCAGCAGCCTCAGTGCGTCTCCTGATCACCTTATGACACAAAAAACGTATTATTTTTGCATTACCAGCACCTTGTTGTTATGCAAAGCTATTCTCTGCATGGCGTTGTTTGTTGTAAATTTATCTCTATACTTCTAGTTTTGACACAAGAATAAATTTCCACATTGGATCTGAGCCATGCCATGCCTTCTGGGAATGCTCTGTATGTGGCTCCTATACTGAATGGATCTTGCAACAACAACAATAATAGAAGGCATCACTCTAGTGGCAAAGCTGTATTTCATCTCCAAAATATGTCTAACCTGAAAATACTGATAGAGCATTCATACCCAAAAGAAATAGCCACTCGCACATACAGACCTGTGTGTCATCAATACACTGACATCAATCAAATGAAATCACCTCAACAAACGCTAACACCAATATAAATTAAACATTGTGCAAAGAGTTATACAAAGTCACGTTAAGTTTGGCAACAAAAAAAAAGTCTAGCACTTAGCGAAAGTACCACTGCTTTTTATGTTTAATTGCTTACCATAGTTTAATTTTTTGTTCTACTTTTGTTCAGCCTGCAGAGTGCATTAGTTATTATTCTGTCAAGGATATCAAAATGACGTCTCGCACAGATCTGAGCTAAATGATTCACGAAATAACTTAAGCACACAGAGTCAAATGCCAGTCTATATTTAAACTAACACCCGGTTAGCATAGGTGACATGTTGCATCCCAGTTATAGTTGCCCTTATCCTTTATGCATGTATGCTTTTATGGGCCAGGTTGATCTGAAGATTATTTTTAACCTTGAATCAAGAGCTGGATTTTCTCTATCTGCTTGCATCAGGGTGGATTTCGAATCTTAGCTGCATAAACGTAACCAGAGCTTATAGTATATGGTACATTAGCATGAAGAGGAAAAAAAACTGAACAAATCGCTGCCAAAACATGCTGTTACTGTCCGCATTTGAATGAGACGTTCACATATAAACTACTACCTATTTGTACACCACGTAACTAAGTAAAGCCATGATCATTGTAGCTTATGTATATTTGATCCCATAACATCCCATGACCTCCTTTCATGTCATGCCAGGAATGACCTAGGGAGAGCAGCTGCCAATTTCCCATTGGACTGCTTGAGCAACACAGTTCACCTTTGTGCATGAGGTACACATTACATACATAACTTATTTTTCTATTTTTCCTATTAACACATTTACAGATAGAGCAAAGCTGGAAAATACAATTCTCCACTGTTCTTAAGGTCTGTCGTTTGGTCGATTGTAGTCATCCTTGTCTCTGGTACCACAATACTGCTCAGACATTTGAAAGGTCTTTCCTCGAAATTTGAGGTTTCACATAGTTTAACTCTTATGGTTTTCCAAATGAAATAAAATGGCTCATCTGTTTTAATATCTTTAATGGCGTTGTTCAGCATGCAGCGGTCTATGTCCTCACTGACAATACAAACAGCGCATTCCCAGTGTTGTGGTCTTTTCTGTTTTCTATTCCAACATTCAGAACAAGGACTGAAATGGTCTTTTTTGATGCGCTCTTTTCACCTCTTCACACTTCATGGGGCAGTTTGCCATATCCACTCAATCCTCACAGCTTCCCCTGTCCGATGTTCGTTCCTGTAGGGGGTATATGCAGGGGTCTTTGCTGTTGTCCAGGCCGTTGTGGGTGCCAGGGACCAGCATGCGTCTCTCCTCGGGGCTGCACAGAGTGGTGGTGGTCTCCGGGAGGGGAGCCACGTGGTGCAACAGGCTACCGGTCTTGGTGTTGGGCGTGTTGCTGTACGTATGTCGGTATTCCTCCTCGATATTCCTGCCCAGTTTCCAACGTTTCCACTTCTTTAGGATCTCTGACTGAACCTGAAATTAAAGAATACATTACGGCTTCATAAGGCAAACTTTGAATGTTTGTGCCACAGAAAATATCAACTTCAGTTTCAGCTATTTGACGGCAATTAAAAGTGCTTTATGCAATTGTATTCATGTCATAAAGTAAACATTGTCTTGGCCTAGGACAGATATACTGTAAAATTTGTAGTTGGCAATGGGATGGCTATCAGTGTAAAATGGCTTCTGGATGGAAGTTGAAATGTCTTGATCTCAAAAACAGAGTCCAGATGATCACCATTGAAATGTCTCTACTTATGGCCCTGTCACACCTTGATGATTTAGCCAGTGTATGCTGACGTACCGCAATTTCCGTAAAAAGCTGGCATACGCTGAACAATTAGTGTTTTGTTTTTTTTTTTTTCAATTTTTTGCGTATACATAGCGTATTCGTAACTTATATAGAACATTTTGATAACTTATATATAACTTATACCAACTAATGCTTAGCGTGCTGCCAGCGTCCACAACTTATGCCCAATGACAGTCTAACTTATGCATAGAGCATGGTAGTGTATCGCCGACGCTCTCTTGTCGTCGCCTATAAAAAGCCTACCTCTTGATGATTCATAACTGCATTAGACATCGCAGTAGCAACATTAATCAGCGTCATGCTGAAGACAACTCTAAAGCATGAAGTCTGGAGGAGTACTGACGGTTTCCTCAGGTTTATATACCAATTTCCCTACACGCTGCCAATACGCCATAATACGGTAACTGTAAGTTAGAAACACGTTCAGTAAGTTCTGTGGTCATTGGAACATGTCAAATATGTCTGCATACGTCAATAAGCTTTGGAGGTAATTTTGATATAAGTTACACATAGGTTCAGAGCACGTTACTCATAAGTTATGGCTACGCTAGACATTATCTCAACGTGTTTGGATAATTAGGAGTAACTTACAATTAAGGTGTGTGAACGTGTCAACAATTGCATAACTTACCTACAACTAATGGCCCACAAGCATACACTGACCTTACTGTATGTCGATGTATGGCAGCGTGCTTCAACGTGCTCATAACTTATACAAAACATATGTATAAATATATATATACTTATTATTATTATTATATGCAAAACGTACTATTATTACTTACTGTTATTACTTACTAACTTATTATGCCAGCATATTTTCCAAAAAATTTTCATATGTCGGCATACCCTGGCTAAATTGTCAAGGTGTGACAGCCCCTTTATAATCTAAATAAAATCATTAGTTGACTAAAAAAAAAAATTGGTCGACTAAGAGACAATGGATCAATTAATTAAATTAACTACTAGAAGACTATAACCCTAAAAAGCAGCTCTTTCGGCCAAAGCACTGGTCCGACCACTGTGCGCTGTCTACATCTAATTATAAAGCATTTTTATAATCTGCAAACCAGGAAGTGACGTTGGTTCATTGTCAGCCAGGTGGTTATTAGCAGTGTACTTATTTATGCATTTTTCTTTGGTGAGACAGTTTTCTTCCACTAATTAATTTGACACTTATAAACAGACAACCTCTTGCAGCCATATTATTTTTTCCACATATTTGACCCCTTCATCTAGTCTGAGTTCCATGTGTTTGGAAATTAAGAGTTAAAGAGAGCCAGACCCACAGTAGCATGCAAACTCCTATTGGATTTTGCTTAGAGACCCAAGACTGACCAATTTGCATAATGATCAGCTGCTAATGGCAAAGCTGTATTAATATTATAACTGGCAGGTATGTGGGCTGAACAAATAACAGGCCAAATGTATTCTGACATGCAGCAGTGTAATGGAGAATTGCTGTATAAAGTGAAATATAAACGCAAGAGCAAGTCACTGTCAAAATTGTGAAAATAAATCTTCAAAGTTTGACATTGTATCATCAAACTTTTTCCACATGAATAAAACATTGCCCTGCCCTTTGAATATCACACAGGCCACATTCATTTTACAGCAAAAATTCTTCTCAATGGGAACTCCATCTTTGTCACAGCAGGCAAAGCATGCTGGATAAATAGGTGTCTTTGGTATGTTTAGTAATCGAATGCAAGAGGGAATCATGTTTGTGTTTACTTTACCTCTTTGTTAACGAAGCAGTACAAAATGGCCACCAACAGACCCTGTGGAGAAATAAACTAAAAGTTAATATGTGATGATTTCACTTCAGTTTCAATTTAAACTAGCATTTAACCAGGGAATCCCTTTGACTATGGTGATTTGAACTAATTTCCTAGCCTTTTTTCTGTTGTTTATTTTTTAATAGATTTTTTTTTATTATAGTATACTATATCAATAAGTATTTTCAATTTGCTTGATTTTATATTTCACTATGGGAAGCGCTTTGAAAATAAACTGGATATTTTGTGACAGAATAAGCCGTGGGGGAAGAGTTGGCTCAGTGGTTAGAACACTTGTCCAGTACACAAAGGTCAGAGGTTTGATTTCACACTAAGTTCTGTTGTTGTGTCCTTAGGCAAGACACTTAACTCACATTGCCTGTTATACAAGTGGTACATGAGTGTCGGTCGTAGTCTGAGCCTCGCTTCTGTCAGTTTGTGGCTAAGGCAGCCGTAGGCACAGGTAGAGCACTGTGGCTCAATGAACACTGTTGTTGTTCATTCATTTTAATTAGTGCAAGGTGTAATGACGCACATTTGCTTTTAATGCTTAAAATGAGTCCCAGAGCAGACAGTGTGTAATGAGTTTGACTTTCCGCCCATCCCCTCGTCAAAACAAGCCACTGTTGGTGGTTCTCATCATGTGTCTCTGGGGCCAAAGGTCACTGTCATTATGTCATCATCACCAGTCACAGCCCGTTAGCCATACAGACAGCATGTAGTCTCATGTTATGCATCCTGACACCAAGTGGAAGGCTGCACTTTTTAATTGGCAACAAATGAAGGTTCAAGTGCCGCAAGCTGCGTAAGCACGACTAGAGCTGAGACCAGGAGGTGAAGCACTGGCTGACCTTGGATGTTCTGTTTGTTAGAGTGTTTATTAGTCCAGTAACTACAGATAGACTGATGTACGGGTACTGGGACAATTTTTACTTTTTACGTCAAAGCATGATCATTGCTATAGTTGCCATTATTCCTTTCCATGATGTTGTAATGTGAAATCAGGATGTGAATTTGAGCTGAATCACCAAAATGTGCCCCAAAATATTACAGAATTTTGGTCATGGAAATGCCTGTACTGATCAACCTTTCAAAAAGAAATTTCTTAAATCTTAAAACAAACAAATTTGACTATTTTTCTTAATGTGTCTGGTACTATAGCGGGGATAGGAGCAAAGACACAAACTCAGCAAAGAAACTAATTATAACTTTGGATATATCATGGATTAATCAGTCCCCATTCTAAAACACTTGGATGATATTTATTCATTACGTTTGGTGTAGAAGCAAATTAATTATTCTTTTGTTTGACGTTAACTTGTTGAAAAAAGTATTTTATGAAATTCTCCTTAATCCTAACCTGAAAAGAGGAGAAGAAAAGGTCGACAAAGAGCTTGGTGAGCCGAAGAGTGATGGTGCTAGACGTTGTTTCATCTGTGACGAATATGAAGAACATCTGATGGATTCCCAACAGAGGGATCAGAGTGAGCGTGGACTTTGCTAATCTGAAACAAAATCATCAAAGAGACATCTCAAAATGTGTAATAAGAACTCCTGGGATTAACATGCACTTTGAGGCTTACCTGAATTTGTAATCAGAATATCTCATCTGGTGCGCCCGTAGTTTTGAAACAAGGATTCGGATTATATGAATAAATATCAGGAAATTTATCTGTCAAAATTAGACAAGAGAAATAATTACAATTATGAACCCATCACAGTCAATTTCTATTCCCCTTTACTGTTTTGTGTTATTGTTTGAATCGACAAAATATGGCTCTGTTACACATTAGTACACTCAGCATCTGGCATTTTCTCAAACAGTAGGTGTTCCTCTGATGAAGATTATTTGTGATTTGTGACCTTTTATCTTCAATAAGACGTGGTCCATTTTGCTGTTTGAAATGTGTGGACAACTGTTGAGCCTTATTTGTACAGAGCGGACTAAATTCTGAAAGCATTTTGTGTTTAAATGGTTCATTTAAAGACCAAGGTAGTAACACATTTTATATTTGGAAGAATGTGGTTAACAATGAGGGGTGGGTAGCGCGATTGCTTTTATTACCTTGAGTAATGCTCTGTACCCAGCACCCAATAAAGTGAGCATATAATGAATTACTTCTACTCTCAAGAATTGCTGGCACCTACCTCTACAATAACACAATGTAAAAACAACCTTCTATTCTGGGGATATTCTCCATAAGGATGCTAATGTCTCCTGCCAATTGTATCCCCATAGGAACTGGCTGTATTGTTAATATGTAATGGTTTATTACAAACAGATATGTGTATGTGAAGACCAGTGTAAAGAGGAAAGCAGTTGAAATGGGAACAAGCCCTTCTCGCTACAGCTCAAAGACAGGAATTCCTGCGAGATACAGACCACTTAACCAGAAGATTAATGTGTGGAAAAAAATGGCGAAGTTCTGTGTAAGCGATCTAGACATCGAGCTGTGATAAATAGGACCTAAATACAGGCTTAGAGCGACCTTTATAGTGTTCTACTAATAATATGGCCCAGGGAGTGTCAAAGGAGGAGTGACCTAATATACGAAAGTACATCCAGAAAGAAATGTGTATCGCTTAGGGATTACACAAGGATGTCCAAGATTTAATTTTAGCCAAAAACAACACAAACCAAAATAGGCTCACACTAGTAGATGTAAATAAATCCCAAAATACTGCAGTTGTTGTGATAAAAGGTCCTATATTACACAAAATTGACTTTTGTGAGCTTCAAGCCATTATAATGTTATATGTTGTTCCCTCAAAAACATCATTCACACATGTTTGAGTAATCGTATATTATTAGTCTGTCTACATCAAAGCTCAAAATGCTCTGTTCCACCTTGTGATGTCACGATGCAGTAGTTTTCAAGTTAACAGCTACCTTTTACCTTTAGTTCAACAGAGATGGGCAATTCCAGAACTGAAATTATTCTAGTGAAGGAATATGAAGTTTAAAATCTCAGTGGAGCACTTCCTGTATTACCACATGACATCACAAGGTGGAACAGAATGTTTCAGTTTAAAAGAAAAACTGAGCCTAAATATGCAGGTTTTGTGTGTTAAATACATGTGAATGAAATAGAACACAACTCCAGGCATGTTTTTGAGAAGGAAACAGCATTATAACATAGATCAGAAAATAGCCTAATACAAGCCCTTTAACTGCAGGAATGAGTCAGGTGAATTACTAGTGAAAGAACAGGAGGCAAAATTATTTTCTGTCTGCCCTGAGTAATTGTCCCCATCCTCCACCTAAGGCCCATATAGTTACACAGTTAGTGCATTATGATCCATTAACTCATGATCCTGACAGAAATATGCACAAGCAGAATTTATGTCTTCATCTTTGTTATTTCTCATGTTTTCATTGTGAGTTTTTTTTCCACATTTTGTCAGTAGGCTACTATCCAAACATAAAGTATATCCCAGATGTTTTGCCTATAGCCTTTTCATCTCATGAATAAATTAGTCATCTTAAATACTGTATGCTGTTTGAATGAGAAATCATCTCCCAAACAGGAAACACATTTTTATAACTAAAACCTATAAAAACATAATTTACTTCAACCTTTTGTGCAAAAGCCTCCCAAATATGATGTAGTTTTTAGAGTTGCTTACCACAACAGCCAGGAGGATTGGAGAACGTATGATCCACCAGAAATTCATGTTTATATTTTGGCTCCAACATCTGCAAGCAAGACAAATAATGTGAATTTCTAGACCATAAGGTTCCTTCTGTTTTACAACCACAAAAGAAATACACACAGTAATAAAACAAGACAAAGTGAAGTCTGGGTTCTACTTATTGGGGAACTGAAAACATTAGCATGTGTTTTAAAGTCTTACATAACAGCACAATGCCTCTGTGGTCACTAAAGTTCTTATTCACAAACACATAAAATAGTGAACTGTGTCCGTCCCAGGAGGAAAAAGAAAACAAAGAAGAAGAATATCAATAAACGTCATGAAAAGAAAACATGATGTGTCATTTTGTGTCAGTTGATGTGCCAGTTTAAAAAAAAAGCAAATTGTGACCCCATGTCGTAAGAGAATTGGTGTTTTAGCATCTATCTGCTTTCTTCAGTGAAGACATAGGTCTCTATCAGTTTCTTGAATATATTTTTCTTTACGAGACTCACTTTGTCATCACTCATGATTCTTGCTAATTTTCATAAAATTCACAATCTTGTCATTTTTTTTTAAACAAACGCCACAGCCGTGAATCAGTAGGACGGCTGAGATTCTGAACAATGACCTATTAGAGTGCACACCACAGCTGTTCACTCACATCCAGAACAGAGTTATGGTAGGGAGCATGGCAAAGGCTGAAGAACAAGTGGGTAAAGTTTGAGTCAGCACAAGAATATTTCCACCTGCACTATTAGCTGACAGCTGTAGGCTGTTTTTGCCTCAAAATGTGCAAGAAATATGAGTAGTAATACATTTATTTTGATTCCCTGATAAATGTAGATCATGCCAGCAGAAAATAGGAAAATAGATGCAGAATCTTGTTATTAACATTAATGCCATTTATAATCACCTAATATGAATCATAGGCTACAACACATGTGCCCAGGATTGAACCAGCAGGACTTAACAAGGACTGAACCAGGACTAAAACAGGACTAAACTAGGACTGAACCAGGACAGCGTACCCCCACGTACCACGCCCACTACACCCTGGGTCACCACCTAATTGTAGCAATGTCTATTACAATTTTGTGTGTTTTGTATACTATCTTGAATTGAATGTTTTGCACACACTCCAATCATTCAACATAAAATACGCTCGGCATCAGTCCCCCAATTAAAATACAAGAAGTAATGACTTAATGGAGAAACTTACTCCTCGTTTTCATAAAGGTATTTCACCGTGACCCATGGCACGAGGAAAATGAGTGGTGTTCCTGTAAGAGAAAGTAATTGCTTTTTACTTTTATCTTGTTTGCATCCAATTTCATTACTGCAGACCTTACTCTATGTCAATAACTGAATTACACTCCAGACTTTAGCCAGAGCCCTTACCCCAGCCAATGCACAGGTAGATTTTGAAGTAGTTCCTCTCTGTAAACACGGTGATGACGAGCAGGTTGTGGAGGTAGATGCCTTCAACCAGGAGCCAGTAGCTGTTGGCCATAATACTGTACTGCATCATAACTACTGCAATCCGACAGCCAAATGTGGTCTACAACACAGGAGCATACTTTGTGTCAACATAGATGAAGTAGGATGTAGGGAGAAGATCAGGGCAGATGGGAGTTTGTATTGGCCCCAGGGAGCAGTGTTTGAGCCCAGATTGTACAAATGTCTATAAAGCCAGCTGTGCACTCAACTTGTGTGGCTGTCCCTCCCCCTGCAACACAACACTGCTCTTCTACTTAATACTAGGAACACCATTTGTGTATCTTACTCATTACTTTTCTATACATCTTACTAAGATATGTAGAACGATACTTTATTGGATCCAAAGGAATTTAAAAGTTTGGCAGAGATAGAAAAGATGTTTTAACTTCATTCTCTTGCACTCCTCTGCAATAGCGATGAGTTGTGCAGTTTAACAATTCACTCTTGGATTTTTGTCCACTTAAGAGAATACATTTTTTTGTGTAGCATTTTCTATCTATTTTCCTGCAGAGATACCAATATGCATTATTGTCAACATAAAGCCAGAATTGCAAGGTAATGTATTCTAGTATCTATAATTTGCAACAATGTGTGATGCTTTCATATGGGGAACAGAATCAAGTATTACTATTGTCATTTCTAGAGCAGTGAGGAATCTCCACATGTTGCAGGATGGATTAGGGGTTAGATTGCTACAAACATTCAGGACTTCATCCCAGCTCTGACAATTTTCCAAATATTACTTCCTACTTCTAATCCCAAATGTTATGCTATTTACAATCCTCTCTTACAAAGCCTAAGGAAAAAAAATAAGTTAAAAAAAAGTGTACACAAATGTTGAGAGTGGTTGTATGGTTCAGTTTTGTTCTATCTATCCAACCACATCACAAAAGCTGCACATAAAAAATTGATGTATTGCTTTGGCTCGCTCCACACTTAGTTAAACTTGAATTTCTGGAATGTAGAAATAGACCTACAAAATATCACTAGATCTTTGGACTACAGTTGTGTACTAAATATGATAAAATTTTAAACTCAGTGTCGAAAGAAAAGGGCTTGATATATTTAATACTGGTTTTGATACCACATTGATAATAAAAAAAGGTGTTCTGAGCTTTTTGGCCACTATTGACAAGGGCTGGGAATCACATGGTTGATACGATATTATCACAACAAAGCGATACACGTGATAACCAATATATTGCACAGGATACTCTGTCATATATTGCTGTTTTTTAAGACCCAAATACATTTTAGCAAACTACTACTTGTGCATAGTAAATATTAAATATATCAAAACAGTGACTTTGTCATAAACAAGTTTCCTTCCTCTAAATAAGTAACAAAATTGTAGTGTGGTCACAAAAAATTGCTAAAAGATACCAAAAAATACTCTTGATGATAAATCAATATAGTAGCCCATGATAACAATACTGAATCAACAAATTTAGTATTACAATATATTTTAATATTTTTGCACACCCCTAGTATTGACACTTACTGAAGTTTCTGTCTTGTTTATTAGAATATCCAGGCTGTATTTTAACCTGTGCAGGTGCACTGACCTCATTGTTGACCAGCATCTCCACAGGAGGCATGGACGCCTGAGGGAAGCCTGAGTCCTGGTCAGTTCTCAGGTCACGTGACACGATGTTGGCGTCAACCAAAGCGTCTTTGATGAGAATGGACAGGGCTCTCAGGATGAACGAAGCAAACAGGTTCATGTGGATGTTGTTCCTCATGCAGTGGAGTTTTCTAAGAGACCAATAATTGTATTTGATTAAAGGTGTACTCTGGGGGTCAGTCACCTCCTTCTTTCTATGGATATATCATTGCTCTTCCTGAAATGTTCCACAGTATGATGTTAGACAGCTCTACGTTACACATATCCAACTACAGGTGGCTTTATAGCTCAAAAATACCTAGAAAAACAGGCATTCTGACTGAGCGAGGTTGCCTCTCTATAAATCTCACTTGTAACTTGGTCTGGTTTTGGTCTCCATGATGATAGAAAGGTTTAATGGCATCCTGTGAGACATTCCAGACAAAGCAATTACGTCTCCATAGAAAAAAAGCATTTGACGTACCCTTCACCAGAAAAGTTACACAATGCACCATTAACATAAGTCAAGGGATATATATTCCTGTAATTGACTAAAGGAATTCTTGTTCGACTAAAGACAAGTCCTGCCGATTGAGTAGTCGACTTAAAAGGGGGTGTGGGAAAAGCTCTCGAAACTTTTATGTATCTTTATGTGTCTAACCCAAACTGCACTCATGAGCACAACGAAAACAACTATTTATGTTCCAGGAAACAATATATTTATAGAAAGACAGATACGACTTGTGAATCATGAGTTTAATCTGACTTTTTATATAAATATATAAATACCAGAACATCTCTAGATAACTCACTCACTAACTTCTCCTTTCTGCTGCTGTCTCTTCTAAATCCTTATAAGGTAAATAAAATGATTAGTCGATTATACAAATTTTGGTAAGGCCTTCATCATTATGGGATACACATAGGAATAATCCATAAACTGCATGTATTTAAAAACACATCATATACAGACTTAAAGAGTCTGTAGCCTGCCTTACTTTTATTTTTTAAACTTATAGTATCATATATTGTAAACGCAGCAATTTGTGGGGAAATTTGAGACTGAATGGTATTGCTTGTACATTTTAAAATGACTCGTTTTGTTGAGGAAGCGGTTGCAAGAGACATTTTTATCCATACAGAGAATTTTTTTTTTTAACCAAATGAATTTAAATACCACATCTAGTATTCTGCTGTTGGAGCATTTACAATATTTGTCTGTATTTCCAAGTATTTACATCTCACAATGGAGATAGTGCCTTTACCTGAAAAATATGAGGATGCCGAGTGCCAACACCAAAGCCACAAAAGATAAGGAATAGCCCACTGTGTACATAATCCGAATGTAGTTGTAATAGTGCTGCAAAACAGACAAACACAATACAAAAAGGTGGCTTGTTAAACATCTGAAATCCATTAAAAGCTGGTCAAAGTTGTCTCATACCACGCTAGGGTCATTTGAGTCACACTCGCTGGTGTTCTTGGTGTTAACCCATTGGCCGTTAGCATCACACTCTTTGTAAATCATACCGTTCTGAACTACACAAAAAAAAGAGACACATTTTTTTCTTCTGTTTGTCACTTTAGAAAACTGAAAAATGTTTTATTTTACAATGTTCTTACCTTCATCAAACCAGGGCAGGTACCAAGGACAGGACACACTCACAGTTGTGTTCGGGAGACCATCAGGCCAGCAAGCATAATCGTCAAAAGTCCTGTTACAAACTACACCTGAAAGCAGAGAATACAGGAATTAAAGAAGACATATTATGCAAAAAATTTGACCTATCACAATGATTACTATGTTGCCTTATCTTTCAATATATAAAATCTGGAACAATATTTTGGGGGGGTCAGCTTTTATTGAGTGTACTTTTCTTTGCGCTATTAGAAAAATGTGCATTACTTTTTGACTATACTCTTAGGCTTAAGATATAAAAAGGTTGAATTAATAACTTCTATAAGTCATTACTGTCATTACATTAGAGCAAATCAAGTACTACAGTACTACACTACTACTGTGTCATTCTGCTATTTATTTATTGCAGCTCATGTTTTTTTTTGTACATTTAGAATCGTGTTTGTGATGTAAATCTGCTCTTGGGTTATTGTATCAGTGGTGTAATAAGTTGCAATTTTATCGTGTATCGTCTATATTTAATTAAGCAAAAGTGCACAAATTTGTTCTTGTGACAGGCCTATGCAAAACTGACTTTTAAGTACTTATATCATGTTATCATTGTTTCCTGTTTTCACTGACTCATTTAGAGTGATTAATACATGTTAGAGTAATCTTTCTTGTCCTGCATATTCTCTATTTGTTTTCTTGTCCCCATTACCTTTTTTTCCATATTTTTCAGGCACTGATAATGGAACGATACCTTATACTTTTCCAGGACCTATTTCTATATTGCTTAATATTGAAAAATTTGATTAATTTGAATGAAATACTACTAAAATTAATTTACTGTAATGTCATTGTTATTAAAGTTATGTAAGGGGAAGGCAGAAATCAGCACTGCAGTTTTGAACCAAGGCAGATGACGATGTTTCATTTATTAAATCATTTTAGATCAATACTTGAAACTCCAGTGATCTAGTATCAATAGTTGCTGAGATCATAATTACAGCAGATAAAAAACATAATATGTTCTCTCTCTGCTTTTGTCCTAGCCTTTCATTGTAACAGGAACTTCCTTGTGTTTACCATACACAGGAAAAGTGCAATCTTGACTTCAAAGACTTGAATCTTGAGCTGCACTTGTACCCTCTGGCTTAACACTGTTGCATGGTGTAAATGATGAACCACAGGCGTGTAAACTGAAAGTGACTGCAGTACTGCTGACTGTACTATAGCATCTTCTTTCCCTGTGGCTTATTTGGTGTCGACACATCACTTTGTCTCTTGTACAGTCATTTGCATATTAATGGTCTTATATAACACAACATGGATTCTTGTGAGCTTTAAGCCATGTTAAAATGTTTTTACTTCATCAAAAACATGCCTGGAGTTGTGTCATACATGTTTGATTAACCTTTTGTTATTAGTTTGTCTACATCTCCAAAGCTCAAAATGATCTGTTTCACCTTGTGATGTCATGAAGCAGTAGTCTTCATGTTAACAGCTGCACCTTTAACTTTTGTTCAGTAAAGAGTCACAATTCTGGGGCTGAAATCATCCAAATGATTGTAATGAAGGTGTATGGATTTTAAAACCACAGTGGGGCACTTCCTTCCTACTACCACATGACATCACACAAGGTGGAACAGGAGAGGAGTTTTTTCTGTTTGAGAACATAACACAGCCTAAATATGCAGGTTTTGTGTGTTAAACATGCGAATGGAACAAAATTCCATGTATGTTTTTAATGAGGAAACAACATTATAACTTGGTTAGAAATAGTGTACTAGACTAAGAGTACACTATTCTAAATTCACTATAGATATTGAATTTAGAATTGTGACAACTTTTTAAAAATGTTTTATATACTTATCAGGAACCTATATGATTTCAAATCAGTGATGAAGGATGAAATCAAGGCTGTACTCAACCAACGCATGCAGATTTTTCCATTAGTTTGTAATATGTGAAGTTAAGACAAATGTTGAATAGAAGAAACCAATTAAAATACTTGAACATAATTATTTAGACTCACTTTTGAGATCTGTAATGTTTTCTTGTTTTTTTTTTTTTTTGGTAATTGCCTTATGCTTTGGTACAACTACACTAAATGAACTGGATTGGAGCATGTCTGTTACATTGCATTCAGCTGTTATATTTTTCCTCAAATCAGTGCAAAATAGATTACAATTAAAGTGACTGACTGGAACAATACAAAGTAGTGTTTATGCTAAATATTGATATGATAGACACGTTTTACAACAATTAAGTGATCAGGCGAATTCCCATGGTTTGCAAACTAAATAAATAAAAAACAAAAAACTACAGAAATCATAGCACCGTATCTAATTAAATCCCCAATCCTTGTTCTGTTTCGATGTGAGACTTATTCAGTGTACAGTGGTCTTTCTTCTATCCTCTCCAGACCCACATAATAAACCAACAGTGTGTCTGTCTTCTCACCGCTGCTGGGAGGATCCCGGCTGTTGTTGCGGTCACATTCTTCTGTGTACATTTTCCAGCTCTCCTGCAGCTTATCCAGGGACACAGCAGGGCACACCTGAGCACACAGCACCCCAAAGGCATTACGCTGTCAATATACCTGTCCTGCTTTTATAACTGCACACACTACACAGTGACGCCAGACTAAACCTGGAACTAAACCTGAAGTAGACCATGATTTGACTTGGATTTGATGTACTTTGATGTAATATACTTAATGATTGTTGTGAGGAGAAACAGCAAAATTCATAACAATTCATTATTAATTATTAATAACATTTAATGCCACCAGGACAAAATACTTAATTTTCTTTCATTCTCATTGTCTAATACATACACTAATATGTTTTAATTATGTGACCAGCTTTATGAAATAAAACTTTCTGAATGATTATTTAATGTTAATATGGCATAAACAGCCACTTCACATTCAGCACTTCACATTTATTTTCTCATGTATAGAGGAAGGGTGTGTTCACACTTGCACATATACCACATCAAATCATGTGACTAAACTAGGCAAGGCAAGATTTTTTGTATAGCACAGTCAGTAATACAAAGTGGTTTGCAGAAAAAGAAAGATGTACCCTTTCTGTCATATGCCCAGTTTAACAGAACCATTTTGAGTCTGGATTTAAACTTTGTCAAAGCAGTGGCCTGTCTTATATCTTCTGAAAACCTGTTCCAGGTTTTAGCTGCATAAAGCATAAAACTGAAACACTGACTCTCCATTTTTAGCCCTGACTCCAGCAGGAGGCCAGTCCCTGAGGTCCTCAGAGTGCGAGATGGTTCATGCCACTAACATATCAGTACTTTGGTACTTTGGTGCTTCGATGCTCATGGAGAGACTTGTACGCAAGCAGAGCTGCTTTAAAGTCTATTCTCTGAACCACAGGAAGCCAGTGCAGAGACCTGAGCACAGGACTTATGTGCTTGTACTTCCTGGTTCCAGTCAGGACCTGAGCAGCAGCAAAGTTATCTACAAAGTTATCTTGGACTAAGTAGAACTACAGCAGGACTAAGTCACGTTTACATTTGCGCTTTACTGGGCTCAAACACACCCTTAATAGAAATTATTTATTTTTCCTTCTAAAAAAGTCACATTACTTATATTTTAGTCCTTTTAACCTGAATAATCATTATTCATTGACCAATTAATCTTCCCTAACCAGGTCTATAAGAGGACCAAGTCTACATCAGGGGCTCAAACAGGGACCAAAACTGTAAAAGCAGCTTTAGAGTGCTGAGTGTATGCAATCAAATACCTACTTAGACATTTAAAACCATCAAAATGATGACCAAATTGTTTATTAGCCTAGCAACTCGTTTTTCTATATCAGCTGTGTGTATATAGTAGCTGCAAACATGCCACAGTAATGCTAAAAGTGCCATCAATCACATCATGTCCTCTTATGTGCACCCGGGGAAAGTGCTACTGTGCAGGCAGCATAATACATAGTCTTGTGCTGTAACACACCAGGCTTGTTTATAGGATCCAACACTAACAATCTGTATCTCCAAATGTAAAACAGAGCTGAATGAATAGAGCTGTGTACAATATTACATGTGTGTTATGTAATGTGTCTATGGGACCCACCTGGACACTGCAGGAGAGAACTACCATTGCCAAAAAGAGGAACAGCCGGGACATGCCGTTTGCTTTGTTTGTGGGAAGAGGGGGGCGACTGGGCGATGAAGAGTGGATTTTCACCTCATAAGGGGAGCTTATCGAGGCCCGCCACGCTGCCTGAACGACACACAGAGACAATCCGTCAAAGCTTAAGGTAAATAATCATGTTGTAAGTCGCTCTGTGGACTTGGAGAAAGCAAATATATTATGTTGGTGTTCCATTGTCACTATAAGAGTGTAAGGGTTTGTGAATCAGCTGGACAAAAATGTTTCTCTATATTGCATATATTTTAAAAATGAATTAAGAGAAACAGAAACAAATCATGGTACAATTGTAATAATGCACAAACCATAAAAGAGACTGCTACATAAAATGTTTAACCATTTTATGTAGCAGTCTCTTTTATGGTATTTGTGCATTATTACAATCACATAAAGATTTCATGTAAGATAAGAACACTTTAGAACACTTTTGAGTGTATTTTATTTTTGCTGTAATACCCAGGAGTGTGTCCACACTTTTCTCATAAGGGTGCATGGCCCAAGGGTAGCACTACGCTTTAAGGCAAGATTTTAGAGAATTTAACACTTATTTACTCCCAGTATGCTGCTGCCTCAGCCTCTCTGTGTGGGGTCGTCTGTGCCCCACAGGCCACTTCCTAGAAATACCTTTTCAATATCCACTATATATTATTTCATTTCTATTTAGAAGTTAATTTACACAAATTCTATTTTAGGGGAAAGAAATCTTAAGCAATTACTCAACTTGTTAGTACTGCTCATTATACCAGTTATTAATTAAATCAAGTGATTGTATTGGCATGTTCCTAAAAAGTGAACACATTGGTTGGGCTTGAAGATGAGAACAGAATATACTGTATACTCCGCACTTGTCCTTGTGCAAAGTCAGATTTCCTCAGCGCTCCATGCTAGACGCTGGACTCTGGGCAGAATAATCCAGGATCTGTAGGTTTGGTGGAGCAAGAATTGGTCACCTACCTGTGTATTATCGACCGCTGCCAACTGGGGGCTCTTCAGAGGCCGAAGCTGGAGAACGGAACGAAATCTGAAACGTTTCTGCAAAAAACACCTTGACCATGGAAACATTTTTGGCTAAAACGTTTCAAATTCCATTCCGTTCTAATTCCCATGATGCTCTGTGCTCGTGTATTCAATGGACTTAACTGATCTGTATCAAGTATTTTAAAAGCTGTCAAGTGTGTCTCCAAATTGTACAAAAACATATGAAGTGCATAGATCTCCATTGGGCTGTGCAATTAATCATATTTATAGAGTAATTTCTTTCTCCTAATATTATTTCTTTTTTTTCTTTTTTTTCTTTTTTTTCGAGAAATCTACAACAGTCAGAACGGCAGTCAGACTTTCAGAGGAAGGAGAGTGACTGCTAAAGATTAAAGTAAACACCTAAACTCCGGCCTGTACACACTCATTTTTACACATTTGTGATCAGAAAACTGTAATTTTACCTTAGAATTTGCCCTAAAATGACCACAAAAGTAATAGCAACAGGAGACAATCCTAATAAAACAACATATCCACAGTGTAGTAGCGACAAAAAAGTTGATGTAGTGTTTAGTTCCATTTTAAATTAGCAAAGACATTTATTTTCTACTTTCTCTTTCTTTGCCCTCCTTAAGGCTTATAACCCACACTTCAATTCAAATATGTCAACATTATTTGTAGATAAACAGCCTCAGGAGGGCCTTGTCTGTACACACAGAAACATTCCACCCTGCTGAATGGAAGTGGGCCTGGAGATACCATCTAAACCAAAGAGCCTGCTTTCTTAATGGGCTGTGCAGTGTAATGACCACAGGATGCAGTTAGCGCTAGTCTCCGCACAGACTGACTGATTACTGTGGGCGCCTGGTGGATCAACATCGCTCAGGTCACCCCAAATGACAAACAAACTAACACTTTGTACCATTTCAGTATCTTTGCATCTAAATGTTAAGGTTATCTGTGCTAGAAATAATGGAAGCTTGAGGTAATTTTTGAAGCCGTGTGGGGCAAAGAATACATTTATATATAATTTTTTATTTATTTTTTTTTTTTTGATGATCAGAAGAAGAAATACTGTATCTCAGTTGCAAGTTCTAAATGCCAATTTCTGGGTTTAATTAACCATTCCCACACCAATATAAAGATCTACAGTCACTACAACACTCTGAACACATCTGAGAAAACCCTAAATCAAATCCACGACCAGTCGATCCCTCAAACGGAAACTTGGAAACCGCGATAAGTCAAAGCCCTTCTTTAAAACTCTCAGATTAAATAAAAACTGCCACAAAGTGTAAGACAGACTGCTGATAATGAGACCACACATGATCAAAGCCAGATCTAGTCCCCCACATGTATTGAGTGAGAGTGTGTAATGTACATGTGGGTGGGCGCGTGCTTGTGGTATACAGGTGGTTTTCCAAAGGGGAATCCCATTTTATCTTGCCAGGCCTGACACCACATATGGGATAATTTTCACACACTGGTTGCTATAGCATGTGTTTTTATGCAACATTTAGGTCCATGTACAAGTAATGATTAACCAAGCAAATATGGGGCAAGGGGCAGGATGACGAAATAAAGAGTGAGTAAAGTGAGGAGACAGCAGTTTGCCCTGGAGACTGGGCCCCTGACCTAAATTTAGAGAGGGGTGAATAATTGAACATTTGCACTTAGAAGTACTTAATGTTCAGCATACAACTACTACCCCCATTACTGTGACAACTATCTCTGCTCTGATAACATTTCAAATCAGATAACGAGAATAATCTTATAGCCCAATGATCAGATTTGACTTGTTTCACTCTTTACATCATAAACTGTATGAAGAAGTGGACGAAGGGAGTGTGACGTCATCCATAGCGTTTGGCTCCAGTCAAATGAAGCTCACGAGGCTAGCAGTTATGGAGTGAATTTCGAGCCGAGTTCCATATTTGCAAAAAAAAAAAAAAAAAAGAGAGAGCAAAATAAAAACAACAGGATCATGTAGAGCGGATTAATACAAATATTTTAAGACCAAAATGACGAGGCTCACTGCAGCAGTTACAGACTGAGGGGTGATAGTTTTTCAATGGAAAGTCAACTGGAAGCCGAGGTGCCAGATGCTCTTCCATGAACACTTCCTATTTGCAACAAGGTGGCTAGCAGTTTAGTTATGTCCATTTATATATATACAGTCTATGGTTTACATCAGGGTTCATCAATCGACTCCAGCCCGCCACGCTCCTTTGACCGGCCTCTAGCCCCTCTGCCCCCCACCACTTGAACTGGCCCTAGGAGGCAATCCTCAAACGTCCTCATGGCTTTTTTTTTTTGCTGCAGAATTTTCATCATCTAACAAGTTCAAGATCAAACAGTGACAGTCAATGCACAGAGTACTGTAGTGCAGTTAGGGACAGCAAAATGGCTAGTGTTAAAATACGAAAACTTGACAGAGAGTGCCGAGTTTTCATAGAACAGTAGACGACCAATTATTTTGTGTGCAGTTTGTCTGATGTAAGGAAAGTGTGGCGGTTTTCAAAGAATATAATCTGCGTTGTCAGTGTCATACAGTCCTGTTATACGGCCTACTCAACCCCGGCCCCCCATCATAGTCAGGAGCGATAATGTGGCCCTCAGAGAAAAAAAGTTGGTGACCCCTGGCACAAAAGAAATTTGATCATCACATACACCCTGTGACACATGACAGTTAATCAGTCAATTTGGACTGTGTATTTGAGTATAGTTTACATTTCCTCATTTTTGTCTTTGCCACACACATAGTTGGAACTTTTTGCATAAGTTTCCTTGTCAAAACCTTAACAGAAGTGAACCCTCAAAAAGAGATCTGATTATTTATATTGGATTTAACTGTTGTGTTCACATGACATTCAATAATCTATTAACTCCAGACATCTGACAATGACCAAAGTTTTGTGCATCTAAACAAAGCCACTGTTACTGTTACAGACGCTGTTTAACTTCTGCAACAGCTTCTATTGCTACAGCTACAGTCAATAATAGATAATGCCCTTTACAAATGGAAATCAGCCCATGGCAACACTTTTTCATTAACATGCACTGCCCCACACGCATAACAAATAATTCCTGTTAGCATATTTAACTTTTAATAGCAAAATTCTGCTAACTAATACTAGCACTTTGTCTAATGACTTTGTATAAGTCTAACGGACTTGAATCAAAATCACAAGCACAATTATCAAATCGCACAGGCTACAATTATAAACAATAAAATGTCCTCTACAAAGAACAAAATATTCAGTTGTTTTGTTTTGTTTTTGTTTATTTTGTTATAGAAAAATCTTGCAGACCTCTACAAACATGCCTTCTGAGTATTCACTCAAATGCCCCTGGATAAGAGTATTCTACTTTTTAAATATGAACTCATCACAGTACTTTGTGCAGCTCAAAGTACTTTGTACGATATGGTTATAATAACACACATTTTTTTAGACTTAGACTTAGATTTAGACAAACATTATTGATCCACAAGGGAAATTACTTCAGTCACAAGATCTAGTTGCTTCTACTTATTGGTCTAGTTCCACAGTATTTCTGTGTCTCCTTTGTACTATAGTGCTTTGTAATTCTTTCTCTTCCTCTGATGATCCTTTGACACTGAACAGAAAACGATAATCCTGAGCTTGTATGACAACACAGGGGTCAAAATAAGCCTTTGAGGAGAAAGCCATATGAGACATCGCACTCGTCCTTCTTTGTTAATGTGTCTGCGCCATAAACTGTATAAAAGAAGTGGACAAACCGTGTGTGACGTCACCTATAGTGTTCAGCTACACTCAAATGAATCCCCCGATGCTAACGGTTACAGGAGCGAATTTGCAGCCAGGCTCCATATTTGTAAATCCGACAGCGAGTAACATAGCAACCACAAGAGCCAATCATGGTAGAGGTTCTTAAATGTTCATGCCTTTCTCACTGGAGAGCTGTAAACACTCTGCTCCTTACTGTTCTGCATGAACCGCAGTAGTTCGGTGTTTTTCATCTGAGCACGGATGTGATAGTTACACAGGGCAATTATACAACTACACGTCCACACAGGTTATTTAACTAATAAATCAGTTACCATCAGTTTA